TCACAAGGTATAGTTCACTTCAATTTTGTTGAATTTTTTATATCACTATTTAAGAGTTTGTTTCTCAAGGTTAACGAAATTATGTGCCTACGCTCATGCACTCAAGGCTAAAAGAAAAATAGTCTTACAAACAATTTATAGCAAAAATATGATATTAAGAGAGTATTTTTGTTTTTCTATGTCAATTCCTTAAAGAACCATCCTTTTTATACAGGTGAAGAAAAGTTTTGTTGCAACCCAAATGTTAAAGCCATTAAAGTTGAAATAAAATCCATTTAAAATTATTCCAAAAAGATAGTTTACACATGAAAAGCAACCAAGCAATTGTCCAATGTATAAAATACTTAAAACCAAAAAGGTAAAAAAAAATTATAATATGGTTCATATTTGTGTGTGTAACAAGTGATTAACATGCTTACTATGTGGCATTCTTAGTAAAAAATGTAATACAAATTTTATTTAAAAGAATAAATAAATTCAAGAATGGATAACACTTGAACGTCATTAACTCTGCACTTGTAACACCAGAGCAAGATTATGCACTCTTCAATGAAGAAAGCTTTGAACTAAGAATAAAGAATCAATTGAAGAATAAAGAAAAGAATTCCCTGAGAAAGAATAGATGCCAAAATTGAAAAAAAAAAAAATCTCACAAAGACCTCTCTTCCTCGAGAGTTTTGATGAAGACAACCAGCAGAACAACCATAAAAGTTTTTTAAGGTTGTATTAATTTTTTTGAGTTTTTGAGTTGTAAAAACAATTAAAATTTTATATAAAAAACAAAATAAAAAGTTTCCAACCTAAGAGAACAACCTTAAGTTAAAAGATATTTAATTCAACAGTAAGTTCAACTTGATCTTAAATATTAGATAACTAGCCATAAGAATTAAGAAAACAAATAAAACTTGAATGATTTTAACATTAATTGATTTTCTTACGAGAAACTTCAATAGATTAAATTTGGAATAACTATGATAATTACATTTTATCTCTACTATTTTATTATTATTATTATTACTATCCATATATGGTCGATTATGAATGGTAGAAATCAAAGTTGATAAGTTCTATTCAAGAATTTAATTAGATATGGCTACTCCTTAATCAATAATATAACTTCAAAATAATTTTGTATATCTAGAATTAGCTTTAGATAATTGATTGTATATTATTTTAATATATTATATCACTTAATACGATAAACTCCCAATTAATTTAGAAACTAACTCTTAGTTATTGATAATAATTGAAAGTTTTTTTTTATCTCGTTATAATTAAATTTTATAGGTTGTATCTTTTGATACCTTTAAAACTCTACACTCAACCAATTACTTGCACTCGAGATTTAAGAGTGCTAAGAGAAACTAAGTTATATTTTAAGTCAAAAATTATAATGAACTTAAGTAAAAGTCCGTATAATATTATTATCAGACTTGATCTAAATTATACAAATTCCAACAATCTTGAATTGGGTATTATTATCCATCAAGACAACTCCACTATCAACAAGTTTAAGAGTGGCAAATAAGTCTTTATAAGAACATATGTGAAAAGTACATCCAAAATGAATTCATTCAATTTTATTCTTTTTTCTCAAAACTAACAAATAATAAATCACTGTTAAATTTAATTTCAACAGTAGCAGTGTCGACAGGTTAGTAAGGTTTTTTTTTCCTTCTTTTTCTTGTTATTTCTTCAAAATAAAATAATTAGAAATATCATGCTTCAATTTCTTGCAATAGCAATAAGTTTTGTTGGTTTTTATCTTTTAGATTTGGACCTAAACTTTTTGAAATTAATATTCTATTTTTCTAGAGTTATGCTTCTCACATTTAAACCTTCACTTTTTTCTTTAGAATGAACTTCAAGATCAAATTTTTCTTTCGATAGTAAATTTGATTTCACATCTTCAAAGGAAAATGACATATCATTGCTACTATACAACATTTTTTTCTTTGAAATGTTTATAGGTGAATAGTAAGGAGATAATCAACAAAATAATTTTATCTTCATCATTAACTAAAATGTCAATATTTTTCATATCTATAATTATAGAATTAAACTTATCAAGATGAGATTGAATAAGGGTACCTACAAACATACAGATAGCATACAAGCGCTATTTAAGATTAGGCTTATTTGTAAGACTCATCGTCATACATGAAGATTCCAATTTATCCCATAATGCTGCAACACTAGTTTCACTAGCTACTTCACAAGAACCTCCCTAGACAAGCAAAGTTGAATTGTCAAAAGCGTTCTCTCATCCAACTCATCTCATTGCTCATTAGTCATACAAGTCAGTTTCTTTAACTTCTCATCCAAAGCTTTTCTTAATTGAATAAGTGCTCTCGATATCACTTGTTAAGATATATGCGCTATGTAGAAGCTCAAGATCAAAATCAATTGAAAAGTTGTAAGAAGAAAAATAAAATAATAGCGATATAATTTCACTAAAAAAAAGAGAGTACAAAATCTTCTTATAATGATGATGATAAGATAAAGAAAAAAACTCTCTTAAAAAAAGAAACAAAGATGAACGATGAATTGATGATATAAAAACTAATAACTCAACTCCTATTTATATAAGATACAAATGAATTAAAACTAATATATGAATTAGAGGTTAGTACAAAATTAAAGTTAAAACTATTAGTTTCAATGGTAGAAAATAAAGTGGAATGTGAGTCATCTACTTAATAAATATGATTAATATAATGATGACATAGGAAGGGAGAATTTGAGAACTTTTAAAAAAAAATGTTGTCCTTGGATTAAGGAGAAGGGATATTAATGTTCGTAATAATTTTTGTTCTTCAAACAAGATTAAAAAACAAAAGATTATCACTCATATACATTAAAATTATATCTTAAATTGTCAATTGATTATGTGAGAATATATTTAAATTGATTAAGATGTTAGGTTTCATTATGAAGTATGTGTGAATCTGAGAAAAAGTGTGTTAAAGTTCTTATGTTACATGTATGATGATATTTTGGTTGGTTAATTGTGTAACAATAGTTTAAAACTTACTACCATGAAATTTTTTTTATATAAATGATATAGCTAGAAGGATGCATCATTTTATTTCAAAATCATTTTTATTATTTTATTCATCAAGATGAAATTAAAAATATCGTTAAAAGTAATATTTTTAAATCCTCAGAATGCTTGTTTGTAACTTGAATTAATAGATTTTTAAGACTTATAGTAGGACCACTCTCTTTGCTGTAATTTTAGGTGGACCCTCAGTTCTCTGTTAATGTATTAAGTTATATTCGTCATTTTATTACAATCTATATTGTTTTGGGAACATAATTGTAGAACTATAGATAAACAAATAAACTAATTTCCTCTTATTTTAACAAATAAATAAAAATAGAGGTAATATATGCGTGTAAATAATGCATAGTAAATAAATAAGTTAATTCATCTTAAAAATATTAATTGCCATAGTATGTAAGTTCTCTTTCAATAGCATGAATTTAAAATGAAATATATTAATTTAAAGATTATAGAGTCATGGACTCCTAATTCCCAAACTCCTTTAGAGTAATTTATTTCAGAAGATCTTTTCAATAATATATGAAAAAAAATTGATGCTTGATTTTACATGTACTTGCATACAATATTAATGAATATTTTAAATTAATTCCCCTTAATGTTCACAATAACGGTAAAAATTTCTTAATTTTCTTTTTAAAGTATATTATTCCCTTTAAATGCGTCAAACAATTTTTTTATTCTCAAATTCCTCGTAAGCAATTAACTTTAGAGAGAAAAGTAAATCTCAACGATGGATGAAAAAGTTAATATCAAAATAATTAATGCACAAATCGATTTAATTCAATAATAAGAAAAATAAATAAATTTTAAAGCTAAAAAATTAATTATATGAGATTAAAATTAAATAAATTAGATGATAAGATAATTTTTTTTTTATAGAATTAAATCGATTAAGTTTATCCATCAAAATAAATCATTTTCAATATTTGCGCTAGTTAAAATTTTGAATTAATACTATATTATAAATTAAATTATTTATTTACTATTCCTTGAGAAGTAAAACACATCTAGCTGAAATTATTTAAAATTAAATTAAAATAATTGAACAATATTTAAATGTAAAATTAAATTAATTAAATGATATGATCAACGTGAGTTAATTAACAAATATTATTCTTCCTTAATTTATAGTTTCAATTTCAAATCCCATAAATACTGAAAACAAAAGTTTTGCAGACTCAAACATACTATCCTAGTTTAGATTAAAAATAATAATAATTAAATACTATAGAACATGTTTAAATAAAAATATTTATTAAATGTTTATTTAAGACTAATCTTTAGATAAAAAATTTACAAACTTAATTATAAATTTTACTAAATAAATTAAAAATAATATTTTATAAATTTATTTTAAAAATTTTTAAAAATTTTAGAAAATAAAAAAATTATTTTGTAAATTTAAATATATTTCATATTAGCTCTTAGAAATTATCTGACCACAAATACCCGAGTTTCTACGTAAATTGCGTCAAGAAAACGAATTCAAAAGTTTCTGTTTTCGGTAAGAATACCAACATTTTTATTATGACAGAAAAAATTCAAATTTTTTTTTTCAATGTATTTCTTTTTACATTGAATTTGAAAAAAAAAATATTTTGTTCGTAATAAAAAAATTTCGTAAATATTTTAATATGAAATTATAAAGTACATAAAAATAATTCAATTTAATTTCTGATTAAAAAAACTCACAAATATTTAAAGAAACAGATAAAATACTAAAAATAAAAAATTTTACATTAAAAATATAAAAAAATTACTAATTAATTTTTAAATCATTAAATTATTTTACAAGAATACTGATTAAAAATATTTTTATTAAAGTTTACCTTTAATTTAAAGTGATCGATCACGTGCATTGCACGTCCCCAAACACGTTTGCGAAAGTGGAGAGAGTGGTGGAGCTAGTTTTAACGGACCCCGACACCGCCAAAAGAAGCCTCGTACCCGTTTTCAAATGGGTCGCACTTAGGTTTACATCTTCAGCAATCTTTCCCTTCCCTCATTTCCATAACTCTAATTTCTCAATTCTCACTCCATCAACCATGTCTAACAGGTTTTGTCTTTTTCCATTCCACCGATTCTCGCTTTTCCTTCGATCCCTTCCCATATTTCTTCGATTTCTCCTACGTGCTTTTTCGATTTTGCCTTTTTCTATGTCTGATTCGGTTATTCTTCGTGATTTAGGTGCAGGAAAAGAATTTTTTTTATTTTTTTTCTTTTCTGTTTGCGTTGTTGTTTGGTGTGATGGGATAATCTGTATTTGCTGCTGCTAATGTGTTTTGATGCTTCCTTTTCGTTTCTTTTCTCTTTGTAGTAATTAGGAATTCTATTGAAAACCAAATGTGATCAATTCTTTTTCTGATAAGGTGGATGTGGAATCGTTGGCGTTTAATATATGAGGTGAATTGAACGTTGAAGTTTATCCTATAGGTTTTTTTCTTCTTCTTTTTTCTTTTTGTGCTAATGATTCATTTGAAGTGACTTAGATAAATTGTATGTGAGGATGCTTCAATGCTTATGAACGTAAGGGTTTTGATTTGTACGATGTATACGCTCCTTGTAATTTCCGGGCTTTTTCTTGATTATGTCTTTGAAATTTGTTGATTAATTTATTTTAAATCCGTGAATTGTCTTAGGGTATGCAAGTTCTACGCTCGTGGAGCGTGTTTGAAAGGGGAGCAATGTGATTTTTCTCATGAAAGAAAGGATGATGTAACACTAATTGTGATTTTCATATACTATTTAGTGCCAATAGATCTTTTTATTTATTTTCTTACTTTTGTTTCTTATGTGAAAAACAGATTTGCACCTATTATCAAAAGGGATTCTGTGCCTACGGTAGCAGATGTAGATATAAGCATGTCAAAGCTTCCCAAGCATTGTCCGTGGCATCGTCTTCATCAAATGGACGCCAATCCCCTGCTTCAGATTCTGTTTTAAGTCAGACGGCTAAAGGTACATCAAATTGGGTTCCTAAGGCTGCAAGGTTGCCTTCATCTTCATCAGACAAGCGTGCAAGGTGTTCACAACGTAAGCATTTGGCCTCTCTGGGGAATGGTGATGTTGGTGAATCAAGTGCTAGTAGTGCTATACCATCTGATCATTTGTTTTGTACATTTTCCGCTGCCAACTGCCCCCTTGGAGATGAATGTTCTCGCATGCATGGAAATCAGTGTTTATACTGTAGAAAATTTTGTTTACATCCTACTGATCGAAAGCAAAAAGAAAATCATTTAAGGACTTGTGAGAAAAAAGAGAAATACCTTCAGGCTGTGAAAGATAGTCAAGAAATAGAATGCAATGTTTGTTTGGAGCGTGTTCTTTCCAAACCTAAACCATCTGACTGTAAGTTTGGGCTGCTCCCTGAATGTGACCATTCTTTCTGTTTATCCTGTATCCGCAATTGGCGTAATAGTGCCCCAACCTCTGGAATGGACATCAATAATACTGCTAATACAGTGAGAACCTGTCCTGTTTGCCGCAAACTCTCGTATTTTGTCATTCCAAGTGGTATTTGGTATTCTACTAAAGAAGAAAAACAGGAAATTATTGACAACTACAAGGCAAACTGCAAGTAATTTCTTTTCTGCTCACATTTCCTTACTTTGGCCAGAAATTGTTTTGTTAGTTGTTGACTGGTAAATTTAAATTTATTTAGTTTATGGTTAATTGATCACAAGGTATTTTGGAGGGTGATTGGTTGTGAAAATATTCCCTCCTTCTCTCATCCTTGCTTACACTTTATATCCTTACTCCTACTCCCCACCCCCTCTCCACATCACACAACAGTCACACACACCCAAAAAGTACACAAAAATGCAAGTACCCACAGGATCCCAATATTTGTGTCAGATGTTGATGTGTTCACTCTTTACACTTTCCTGTTGAGGAGGGGCCAAGTTTGGTTATTTAGGCGGCAATCTGATGGTTAACAAAAACTAAGCCAATTTGTGTTAATAAAGTGTGCATGTTTTGATATGTAAATTTTTAACTTACCATTCTTGTCATTTTTTTCAGACTAATTGACTGCAAGCATTTTGATTTTAGAAATGGGAATTGTCCATTTGGGGCTAGTTGTTTCTACAAGGTACCCAAGCTACCTTTGCTCTTTTTCTTTTGTTTTATTTTTATATTTTCCTTGGGAAATTTTGATTATATAATGGTTGTTAGCAAATGTGAGTACATCAATTTTTGAGCAATAAATTGCTCTCCACTCCACCATGCTTGTCCTTCCACCTAATGGATATTTATTAATCTGTATGTTTCTTAGATTATTTTTTACTATGAAATTAATCCATTTTATTTGCCGCACATAATTCATATGTTGTCTCTTTGACCTTGGGATCAGTTGTTGTCGTGTTGAATTTGATTCTATTTATATAAACATTATGTGGGCTTACTGTCCCTCCATCTGGATTGAGAAATCAACAAGATTTTTGAATTTATCTTATAGTTATTCTTTAGTCCTTTTAGGATATTGACTTAGGCCATGGATTGATCAAGAGCATCCTATAGTTTAAAATTTGAAATTTTGAGAAGGTTGATTTGGTCAATGGTAAAATATTACTAAAATATTTTGCCATCAAGCAAACTAATTGATGGTTGTGTTACCATGCTACTGTTATTGTTATTAACATGCATTACCATTTATAATAATATATTTGGTACTGCGAAATGAACTACTTAGTTGATTGACTTGATTCTATATATTACATTTTATGTTCTGTATTGCCTTTATTTATCTTTATAATGAAGAAAAAGAGTATTGGTAGTAATTGAAAACATAATAAACTATGATTTGGAGCTATTTTAATTTGTGGTTTGTCTGAGGAATGTTAGCAATGCACTCTAAAACATTTTTTCAACGCATTCCTAGTTATGGGCTAAATGTATTGAAAACTACAAAAGTATTAGCGAGAAACATTAAATGACGAATGAGAAAGAGTTAGATTTACATGATTTTTATAGTTGTCAATAAATTTTAACCAATAACTAAGAGTGTATCAGAAAGTGTGCTGCTAGCATTTCTGTTGTTTGTTTTGATTCCTAAAGTTCCCTTGTTTCTAGATTTTGAGTTTTTGACCAATGATGCTGGGTGTCTTGTTTCAAACTTGAATGGAGACATTAAATAAATGATACGAAAGAGGGGAATTATAATTTTTCTAAAACTTTTAGTTACACAACATGAAATTAAAATAAAAAAAAAAGAAATTAAGCCTCATCGGGTATGCTTTTAGTTTGAACTAAATACTAATAGGCTATAAATATCCTTAATGAAGATGAAAGACAGTTACTCAAATTTCAGATACATGTAAATCTGTCTTTATTCACCCTTTGTACTTTTAATCGTTGATGCAGCCTAGATCTGTTCTCTAATGATTCAAATCTGTTGTTCTCAGCATACAGTGAAGCCAGGCTCATACACATGGATACATAACAGGCCACCACCTCAACGGAGACAAAACAATTTTGATATGTATGATATGTTGGACATGCTCAGCGAAGTTGATTTATCAAGTTCAGAATATTATTCCATCATGAGGGACTCAGAGTTTTTTGATGATATGGATCCATTTGACATGATGGCTATATCGGATAGGCTCACTGGTGGATCAGGTCCTTGTTTAGGTCCTTTTGATTCTGATGACGAGGAAATGGGTATTTTTCAGATGGCTGCATTGTCAGAAGAACTAGTTGCTGGTGTGGATGATTTTGGTCCTGAAGATTTTGATGATGAAGAATTCAATCCTATGGAGGCAGCCATTTTATCAATGATGATGCATTCTAATATGGATGAAGAGGAGGAAGAAGACAGTGACGAAGACTAGTAGATTTGCTTAGTTCATATGAAAGCCCATTTTTAGCCAGTTTCTGAGGTAGCCTTTGGCAGTATGGTACCTATCATCTTGTTTTGGAAATTATTTGGGCAGGAACTTCCAGATTGATTCTAGTTTATGATATGCTTTTACTCATGCCTCTAGCTGCTATTCGTGATAATATGCCATTTTTGTATTTACTGGTATGATGCTATTGAAGGAGTTTGGCTCGAGGGTTTGGTTTGTCTTGGCTCATAGTTTGCACAGTGAATTGTGATTGTGCGCTATAAGGAAAGGCTTGTCATCGTTGGTCCGTCGGCGATATTTGCTTTGTGTGTGGTTATTTTTTCGTCCAGTTGCACCATTGTAATAAGCATAGAAGATTGAACAGTTCTGGGCCTAGTTTCGTAAGCTTTCTACCTTTGATATTAACTCTTCAAATTTACTGATAGATTTTTTGAGCGTCAAGTATTTTGTCTTTTTTTTTTAACCGAGGTTATTTTTTTCTTTCTCCTTGCAATTTTAAGAGTGTTCGTTTCGCGTTGCTTTTGTGTTTAGGTGTTGGTTTAAGGTATGAATCTAATTAATCGAAGTATGCAATGCAACACACTTTTATAATATTACTATGTATTCTGTAATAATTATCAAAATGATGAAACTTATTTTTCTCTTGAATACAAAAACCAAGTATAATATTTTAATTACCATAAAAAAGAAATCAATTATTTCTCGAGGGATGATAATTATATTATCAGAATAAAAAAAATTTAGCTTCTATCAACAAGTATTTGAAGTGGCTTCATTTTATATTTAAAATCATATTATATTGTAAACAATATATTCTAGTTACATGTTTAAAAATTAGTTGCAATAAATGAATTATTTAATGCTGTATATTATATAGGACTGAAACAAAGATTTGCTATTTTGCTAATCTAAAGAGGGTTTTGACAATGCTTTCTAAACAATCAACTTAATCGTTAGATAATGGACTGAAAAATATAACACACAAACGTTGCATATAAGTTGTATTGATTTTTACAGATGATTTTTTTAAACTTATGAAATTATTGACCTCAAATGTTTTTAGTATATGTATAGTTTATCTCATTTTAAAAGGCAATCGTTTACTTTTATTAGTTTTGTGAGATAGCTTTCGAAAATAAGCAATTGTTTTTTAAAATTGAATCAATTTCAAATATAAGTGTAAAAAGGTTTCTTACATCTTTTTTATTGTGTAAAATTTATTTTGATCCTATTTAATGCTACATGGGTGTGAACGAATAAAATATTATAAACAGAATCACAAATTATTTTTATTGTGTTTGTGTATTTCATTTCACAAAATTTTAAAATCTTTTTTCTCTAAAAGGAATATACAAGTAATATTTTATATTTTATTAGTTATTTTAACTATCGTTTAAGAGTATTTTCGAGGATTATAATTTGGTTTGAACATGCTTTGAATTACTAAATTTTTGTAATTTTTTCATTTAGTCTTTCTAAGCATTTTTTTAGTCTTTTTCGTTGATGTAGTTCAACAAAAAGAAAAATTGATATTTGACAGTTTTTTAATGGACCAAATCAGCCACGAGAATAAAAACGAAAATTTGTAAAAGACTGAGGAACAAACAACAAAAATTGTTTAAAGAGACTAAACTTAAAAATTCACTAAAATGTGAGAACAAATTATTTAAATTTTATAAATTTTACATAACTTTAATAAATTATGCGTTTTGATGCATAAATAATATGTTAGGTTTAAAAGTCCTTGGAATACAAAGGTTTATTATTAAATATAAAAAAGTTTAGCAATTTGTTTTGAATATTATGAAATTATATTTAAAATATTGTTCATTTGCTTTTTATTGTACAAAATGTTTTTTGAGAAGGTTTTGTGCGTTTGTGACTGACATAAATCCATCAATATTTAGATATATGGTCACTATAAATGATAAGAAACTATATCAATTTCAAAATGGTTGAACATGAAGATCAACACTTGTCTTATGTGTAAAGGACAACAACATACTTGAGGAGTTTAAGTTCAAGATGAGGCTAATTCATCAAAGGATTTGATAAAACCACCAGCAAAGAAGAGAGTTTGCTTGAGAAAGAACAAGATTTGAGTAAAGAAAAAAGTTAAATTAAGTTAGCATCACAAGAAACTTTGAAAAGAATAAAAAAAACTTTTAGAAAGTTCCTATGACCATAAAAAGAATGTTCTCAATCAAAGAAGTAATCCATGAAAAAAATATTTTGCCAAGAGCACGGTACCTAGCTTGAGTTTCCCTCTTCCTCAAAAGGCTTCAAGGTGACAATAAAAGGCCTTAACTTGAAAACCTATATGTTGAATTAAATTTCTGTGTGAATTTATAATTTGATGTTGTTTGTCCTCAATCTCTTTCATTAATACGATTGAATGTTGTCTAGATTTTGTTTGGATAAAAAGATAAAAAGTATGATAAATATTAATGTTTTTTCAAAGGATTTAAGTTAGGACCAGACAAAATATTTAGTTATACAAATTCAATCTATAACTAATGTTAAACTAGTTTTGAAAAACTCGATACACATTAAACTAATTTTTTAATTTACTACATTTGTGTAATCAAATTTAGTATTTTAAATTTACTTTCTAAAATCATATTTTTCTTTATTTGTCTAAAATCAGATTTTTAACATACTAATTTAATAATAGTATAAAAAATATTTATAGCATATTTTACTAGATTTAAAATGAATTTAAAAAATAAACTAAATTAGTTTAAAATTTAATCTATATAATTAGATTTAAAATAGATTTAGATTAGCTTTATACAAATCCAATGTATGCCCACCCTTAATCTTTTCAAAATATAAAAGTTTGTTTCCCAACTAAAGCTAGCGTCTAAGTGCCTAACATTGAGTAAAAAGATAAAGGAAAAAAAAAATATGATTAAAAATAGAATTATACTTTTTATCTTTTTAAATGATTCGGCAAACAATTGAAATACATAGCTTTTATAAGTATATTAAGAAGTTATAAATTATTTTAAATGTTAGATGATTTTTTTTCCCCACAAAACTTCTTGCAAGTAGGTTTTTTTAAATGAAAACTATTTTTTGACAAATCAAAATTCAAATCTTGATATAAATGAAATATAAGATAGTAAAGGGTTAGAAAAGACATTGAATAAATTATTTGTATTAGTTTACCCACAAGCAATCTAGGTTTAGTTTGTTATACATAGTTAATTTTTCACTATTTAGATAAGTCAACACTTTTTGAAGAATCGTATAAATTTCTCTGCACTTAACAACCAAGTAATTTAGTTATCAAACAAAAGTTTAAATGTTACCACTAATAGAAAATTATTATTGCTAATAAATTTATCAAAGAACAACTAACTATGTTTATATAAGGAATAAAAAATATTAAACGAAATATCTTATTTTTTGAACATTATCTCTATGCATTTAATACGAATTGACATTAAAGCTACATTTTCTTATAGAAAATTTGTTTCGAGGTGCTAATTACATAGGTGACAAGAGATGTTCACATACTTGAGAGGAATTTTCTATTCTTAACTTTAAAAAAAATTGTTATGCTAATTTTTGAAATAAAAAAGAGGGGGAAAGTATTTTTATTTTTAATAGATATTCTCTAATTTGATAATTTTTCAAACATAAAAAAATAAAATGCTAAATTAGTGTAAACTTAATGTATCAAGTCTTTTTTGGTTTATTTTTATAAATATTATATAATTCGAATTAAAAAAAACTTTTCCTCCTTATCTATTTTCTCTAAAACCTAACTCCCAAATATATTTTTAAGAGAAAATTCATGTCATATCTTCTTTTTGCATGTTAGGCAGTTGGCTTAAGTCTTAAATAAGTAAACATGCATCTATCTTGAAATTCTTAACTCCATATAAACTTTAGATGAACTAGAATATGTTTGATTTACTTTTTAAAAACAGTTTTTAGTTTTTAAAAATAAATTATAGTATAAAAACATACTCTTAGTCTCAAATTCTCCAAAGTAGTTTTCTTTTTAAAATGCTACTTCTTAAATGTTTGTTTAGATAACTTATTTTCTATTTTACTTTTTATTGTATTCACAGTAACCATACATTCAATAAACATTATTAGCTTCTGTTAAATCCATACAATGATTATACATTTGTTTCTATTAAAATTTGAGAGTTATACAATCTTAGATATAACTCTAAAAAAATATGTATTTTTTTATTCTGGTTGATACTAAGTTTGGAACCTAAGTACTATAGTGCCTAAGTGCTAGAATTTCATGTGTCCAGGGAATAGTTGACCTATTTTTTAAAGAGTTTTTTCTTGATTCAATTAGATACTATTATTTCAAAACTCGATCATGTTAGACACTTAATATTATGAATGACCATTTAAATAATTGACAAAAAATGTGATATAAGTATGATATGATATGAAAATAAGTATGTCTAAATTTTTTTACAATAAACTATAAAGATAGTGTGTGCTAATATGAGTTCATATGCATTGCTTTGCATATTATATTAATAAAACCATAATGTTGCTCATGAATATTGTGAATGTGATGGTTTCTCTTGATATCAATGTGAAAAGTTTGAATCATCGATTTATTATATTATTATAGGTATTAATACGTTGTAAAAGAAAATAAATGATATGATATGTTTGTGTTGAAATTATGTACATGACATTGGAAGATGAAAATTAATGATTTTTTAATCTTTATATGAGATTCACAATTTAAAACATACAAACACATCATGATATTGATTTTAGGATTATCTTTTTATGATGAATATGACAATCAAAGTTATATTCTTTAGGTATTCACACGAACAATTTTATTAGAAGATCTTTGTCATTATTATACTAGTTGTAACAAGGGAGAACATAAGCTACATACTTAAAGTTTTTTATAAAATAAAAAAAAAATCCTTCAATTCTTAGATTTATTTTTTATTAGTCTAATCTAGTTAGATAATAATTATAATCTAACTAGAATTTGTTTAATCTAACATGCTTATTCTTTGAGTGAGATCCTATAAATTTTTCTAATATTTGGTATGATATTAAATATAAATTATTTATTTTTCATACTATAATATGAACAATATTTAGTAATATCTCATTATTATCTAAATATTAATAATATTATTAGATTGATATAACTTATTTATGTGATATAATATATATTATATAATTAGTCTCTTTGTCTATACAACTAAATAAGCATAAGGCATAAAAGATGTAACTTAGTAAAGTCTAATTTTTTTTTATACTTATGCAAATTTTTCCAAAATAAATATCTCATTTTTAGTATTTAGCTTATGGTCATACATTTTTTAGTTTAATTATATCAATAGGCCTACAGATATTACTCCTATTATAAAGAAGAGATAAATTTTATATAAATTACTTATAGTATTTTATATAATTTATTCTATGTCTAGCTTTAACTTTATGTTCACCTTGTTACATATGAGATTTGATGAGATTAAAACATAGAATTCATTATGTAGGAATCAACTCACATTTACCATTATTGCATTCAAAATTTGTTATCACACTCATACAATAATTTATGTAATGTTCTTGTAGTAGGTCAAGACATTATATTATTATTCCTAATGCGTATATATAGAGACTTAATATTTTGTAGTAAGTACTTTCAATTTATTATATCATTCTAATATTAATACATAATTATGAATATTTTAAAAATAATACTAAATAAAATCTCTTAATTAAATTATTTATTTAATATCATATAAAATTCTATATACTATTTTTAGTACATCACTGTATGGTTTGGAAAGAAAAAAAATGAAATGCTTCAAAATATTAATTCTCTTTCATATTTATAAATTTTTTAATAAATTAAATTAAATATTTGGATGATCTTGATTTTCTCCAATGATTCATTCACGGGAGATAATCTCGTTTCGATTTTTAGTGTATACATCAACAATGTAGGCTATAACTATGTTATACTGAAATAATGAAATGAAATGTAAAAAAGAAAATTAATGAAATTGATAAAGATGAGATAATGTAAACGTAGTAAAATGTAAGAGAAATGTATGAAGTATGACTATATAAATATACGAAGATATTTATTGGTTATGGCTTATAAATTGATTATAAATTAATTTTAAGATAATATTAACCAATGGTAACTTATATTTTGATAAGAGAATTTATTTAGATTTTTATCTCCCTTTTGTAATTTTTTTTGACATTTTCAAATTTTAATCAAAGCCACTTAGTTTTAGTGATTTTGTATTCTTTTATAATGATGCAAATAATTTAAATATGTGTCTAAGGTCATCTATTGGTTTTAAAAATAAATTTTACATTCATGTTAAACTAATAAGCTTTTCGCAACATCTCTTTACAGTTATACTAATCAAAATTGTTGTAGAATTTACGTAATATTTACCACGTGTTACTTCTCCCAATCAAGTGAAGCAACTAATTTATTAAATTTAATAAAATATAATAATATTGTTGATAAATAATCAAATTAATGACTTATACATTAGATAAATAAATATATCTATTTATGAATAATAAATAAATATTTTATTATTACAAATCTCACAATAAATAAGATAATAAAAAAATTTAATATTTATATCTAAAAATGAATTTTTATTTTATAATTAAATTTTAAAATAAGAATAATTTTTATAAAAAAATTTAAAAATAATATAAATGTACTAAAAAAAAACTAACCTAATTTATTTAATAAATAAATCTATCCCAATTTAAATCTAACTTGAGTATTAAGTTTTTAATAATCAAGAACTGAAAAATATAAGGAATTAGTAGCTCAAGACCTTTATTTAATGATTGGTAATGAATGTTGTTGACAGTAATTTGAGTGATTTATTGTGTTAGGTTTTTCACATGATTTGGTATTTAATTTTTTTATATATAAATGTATAATTTTTCTATAAAAAATTAATAAAAGTATATTTTGTATTTGCGGAGATAATAAGCTTATTTTATTTAAAATAAGAAATAACCTTTTATATTATTTATTTATTGATATCATGAATTAATCTTATTGTATATATATTAAGTATAATTACATATTTATTATTATTGAATTATTGTTGATTTAATCATTATAAATAAACTATTAATTAGTATAGCTAATTTTAAAGGTATTATTAAAATCATAATTTAATAGCATATTTCTATTTTAAAATATATTTCTCGGTGACGTTAATTCTTTAAATCAGAATATTTTTGATACAAAATTTAAATATAAAATTTTATTTTAAAATGATTAGACACATTGAACATCCATTAATACTGAATAATATATTCTTTAAAAAAGAAAAATAATATTTGTATAGTGTTTTTTATAAATTAAAAAAGAAGGAGAAAAGAAATAATAAAACGAGTAATATAATAGATTTATTATAAACAAATATTATAGAAATAATTAAACTTGCTAATAAAAATAGGAGAGAATAGAGGAACACTTGAAGACACGTGATCATATGACAAAGCAATGTCATAGAAATGATAGGGGAAGTGACGAAGAGGAAAAGACTTGGGTAGGTTGTGGTGTGGATACCAAACCAAGGTGGAACGTTGTGTTCTCTCCCCCATACTTATTTGCCATCCAAATCTAACTTCCAAAATTTTCGCTTATTTCCACCATCCAACCATTTCTCAGGTCCTCTCAATCTTAATTTGAGTGGCTGCAAAACCCCACGTGCTACCCTCCTTCATTTGTTTTTGGCTCTTTCTTCATATTCACCTCTTTTTTCATCCAATTGTCTCTTTGAGGTTTAGGGTTTTGATCATCTCAGCTCTCGCTTAATTTAAGGATTTTCCTTTTCCTGAATAATCGCCATGTCTAAGAGGTGAGATTGATTATCATGAATTTTCTTTGGTTAATTGATTTTTTTTTTTTATTATTTTGTGGATTTTATGTTTTGTGTTCTGCAGTTTCTTTGATTCTGGAGATTGTTGTTGTTTTTATAATATTCGTTTTATTTATTGTTCTTATAATCTTGTTTTATTGCTCTTTGAACTAGAGCAAACATTTATGTTTTCGGGCGTTGTTTCATTAAATCAGAATTCAGATGAAAAAGGGTTGAAATTTACAATCTAGAATCCTGCTTTTTTTTTTTTTTTTTGCAACGGTTTGTTATTGAATTTCAAATTTCGTTATTTGATTCATATGGCTTTTTAAGTGGAAACTCAATCAGGTTATAATTTTTAACGTATCATCATGACAGGCAATATACCATTCCTGGATGTCTTAACAATAATGAATTCTATATGTAGGAGAGTGAAATTTGATATTGCTATCTTGTTTATGATGATTGTAATTGATACTTATGTGTTTTCGTTTGTGGAAATATGGATTGAAGGGTTTTGATTTTTGACGTTGATTATTGATACTAAGGACAAGTGTTGTTGTGTGGGCCTTTTCTTTCACTGTTAATTTTCCCTGTCTTGTCTTTCTTATGCAACTTGAAGACTATTCTATTTTCTTTAATTTCTTATCTTCTGAATCCTCTAGGGTTCTTTGTAAATTCTTTGCCCATGGAGCATGTCTGAAAGGGGAGCATTGTGAATTTTCTCATGACTGGAAGGATCCTCCAAATAATGTTGGTGATACCAGCTCTTCTTTGCTGAAGATCCCACTAATTGATAGTTGTTAATTTACTTTTCTCTGAATCTTTCTGCCTGTTGTCTTGTTATGACAGATATGCACATTTTATCAGAAAGGAGTCTGTGCTTATGGTAGTCGCTGCAGATATGATCATGTCAAAGCTCCTCGAGCACAGTCCTCCACACCATCCTCTTCCGTAATTGAACACCAGCCCCTGGCTTCAGATTCTGCTGCTTTTGGAAATTCTAGAACTACATCAAATGGTTTTGTTACAGCTGCAGATTTTTCTCTTTCTGGGAGTCCTTACCTTCTTCCTCATAAACCAGCTTGGAATCAAGAATCTGAGTATCATGAATTTTTAGGGGAAGAAGATGTTGGTCAATCCATTATCACTTCACCTTCTGAGCATTCAATCTGTTCATTTGCTGCTGCTGGAAACTGTCCACGAGGGGAAAAATGTCCTCATATTCACGGGGATCTGTGTCCCACCTGTGGAAAGCACTGCTTACATCCTTTCCGATCTGAGGAAAGAGAAGAACATATGAAGAGTTGTGAAAATAAGCAAAAGCATCTTGATGCATTAAAACGGAGTCAAGAAATTGAATGCAGTGTTTGCCTGGAGCGTGTTCTTTCAAAGCCTACAGCAGCTGAACGTAAGTTTGGGCTGCTATCTGAATGTGATCATCCATTCTGCATATCTTGTATTAGGAATTGGCGTAGTAGTAACCCAACATTGGGGATGGATGTTAATAGCACATTAAGGGCTTGCCCTATCTGTCGTAAGCTATCTTACTTTGTCATTCCAAGTGTCATTTGGTACTCAACAACTGAAGAAAAACTGGAAATCATTGACAACTACAAGGCAAAGCTCAAGTAATTTCTTGATCACTTGCAAAATCATCTTATGACTTCTTTTTCTTTTCTTATCCAATTAATCTGTGATCTAATCACAAATTAAGCGAGGAGAGTTTTAACTTTGTGTCACCATTGTATGCTACTTAATTTATGAGGGGTGATGGTATTGCTACTTGACATCCATTTCCTTTCCTCCTCTATATTGGTCAACATGTGCAGGGGCAGTCAATGGCCAGCCATATAGCATATATTTCATTATAAGGAAAAATTTTGCTCATCTGAGTGAATGACTATCACCTTTTATGATATTCTTTTGGTAATTGTTTAACGCCATGTGTAGGTCAATTGATTGCAAGCATTTTGACTTTGGGGATGGAAACTGCCCTTTTGGAACTAGTTGTTTCTACAAGGTAAATCTGTGAAAATAACTAGTTGTGGGTCCATCTTTCTTTGTTCCTACTAAACAATTGTGTTAAAATTATGATGTTTAGATGGTAGTTTGAGGTTTTGAACTGGGTTAAAAATGATGCTTGATTAGTTCTTTGAGCTATGTATTTGCAAAGTTGACTGGAGATTGATTTTGGTTGACTTCAATTGCAGCATGCATATCGAGATGGCCGTCTTGAGCAGGTAGTTTTGCGACATCTAGGGGCTGCAGATGGCAATACTGTAATTGCTAAAGACATCAGGTTGCTGTGCCCCTTTTCATTGTTTCTTTTCTCTGGGCTTGTGCTATTTAACCTTTCCTCTCTTCATCTTTTTTTTTTTTGGGGCTTCACTAACACAATACCTGATGCTATCAGGTTGTCAGATTTCCTTGCTAACATGCATTTAAGATGAAGGATAACGTTCATATGCTCCAGTAAGTTCCAAACATGTGTTTCCTTTTACTTAAATTGACGATGACTTTTGTATATGGATTGATGTATAATAATGTTTCTTTTGTATCCTTTGCTTCATTATGGTTTTCAAGAAATGTTCCTGCGTCAAACACCCAATGGGAGAACTCCCTTGTCAATTAACCAACAAAAATACTTGATATGTGATTTGATTTGCTGGATACCTCATCTTGTGTTTCATGCTTAGTTGTTCTTTTTTTAACTTCTCTCTTTTAAGCCTCAAATTTGATTGTACTTTGGGAAGCATCACCATTTGTTCTTATGTTTATAAGCTGAGACAAACCTTTATGATATTTATGCAAGTTTGATTATCTTGTGAATTGTCATTGGTGATTGGTTTTATGGGTATGTGGAGGTCATGTCACATTTAGTAGCCTGCTGGTATTTTTACATAAGTTGTGTTTTGAGTTATTCTGGATTGGGGTTAAAGACATGAATGGACTACTATGTTTCCTTCTAGCCTTTTGAACACAGATTACAAACTTCAATTGTTTGCACCAAAGTTTCTCCTTTTACATCTGGACATATCATATGGAATAGAAGGAACAATTGAAGAAAAGAATTGACCTGTATTTTGTTGTTGCTTAATAAAGGACAATCATACTAGGTAGAAGGAAGCACCATTTCTTTTGGGCCATTTTAAGCAATCTTTTAGGGTCTTCCTGAATTATGAACATTAGCCATTAATGATCAAAGCAAGGGGAGAACAAGCCTTAGTTGAATACAAGGGATATTGTCTATGTTGACTTTATTACTAATTATTTCACTTTCCAAGTATTATTATTTACAAATGTATGAAACATATAAACACTTTCTGGGTTTCTAGGTTTAGGTACTTGGAATTAATTCTATAGAATGATGGAGACATTAATGAATATGTTACTCATAAAATACAAGTTAGGTGGTTAAAGTAGAAAAAGACATCAGAAGTTATTTGTGACTGTAAAATATCTATCAAGCTGAAAGGAAAGTTTTATTATACTGCAATACGACCAACTATCTTAGATGCTAGTGAATGATAGGCCTTAAAAGAACAACACAAGAAGAAAGTGAGAGTGACAAATATGAGAATGTTAAGGTGCATAAGTGGTCGCACAAAAAAATATAAGATAAGAAATGATAGTATATGTGATAATATTGGAGTAACATCTATAGTGAAAAAAATGACTCATAACTATATAAGGTGATTTGGTCACATGTAGAAAAGACTTTTAGAAGCACCAATGGAGAGTAGATTGCATGATTTTTAGTTCAGTAAAAAATAGGTCAAGGAAGACTCAAAAGATTTGTATATAAAGTTTTTAAAAATGATATTTTGATTAATGAGATTTATGAAATTTTGGTCTTTAAGCAAACTCAATTGCGTCGTGTGATTCATGTAGCCGACCTCACTTAGTGGGATAAGGCTTTGTTGTCATATTTCACTTTCGAAGCTTGTAATTCTACCATTGAATGAATATCATTTTCAGATGTACAAAGCAAATTGTACAAGAATAAGGATGATATCCAAAATTATGTAAACTACTGAAAGATTAAACTTATGAGTCATACTATGAAGTTGTAGAAAAATTGATTGAACAGACTCGGGAAGAAATTAAGATTGCAAAAATTTAATTTGGTTTTTATGCCAAAAAGATCTACAACAAAAACTATATATCTTTTATGATAGATGATGAGAAAATATCAATACAAAGAAAAAGACTTATATATGATTTTTATTGACTTGGAAAAAGCATATGATCGGGAGAAATGCTATGGAAGGTTTTAGAAAAGAAAGAGGTCTGTGTAACATCTATTTGAGTTATACAAGACATGTATGAAGGAGTAATTGCGTGTGTAAGAACTTATGGAAGTGTATTTAAGGACTTCTTAATTGGTATAAGTTTACATCAAGGCTTCAGTTCGGATTCTTGTTTAATCTAGTATTAAATGTGTTTACAAGTGACATACAAAATATTATTTTTAAGTGCATGCTTTTTATGATATAGTATTTGTTGATGATTCGAAAAAAGAGGTTTATGTTAAACTTGAGATATTGAGGGAGCCTTTAGAATTTACAAGTTTTTGTTTGAGTAGAAGTAAGACAAGGTATATGCATTACAAAAAACAAGATGAGAATCATGTGTTGGATGTTAAAAATTAAAATTGGAGATAATATTAACTATACCACAAGTTTCCAAATTCAGGTACTTGGGCTCAATTATATAGAATGATGGATAAATTAGTGAAGATGTTACTCATATAATATAGGTTGGGTGGTTAAAATGGAGAAAAACATCAAAAGTTATTTGTAACTGTATAATACCTATCAAGTTGAAAGGAACGTTTTATTGTATTGCAATTTGACCAATTATCCTATATGGGAGTGAATGCTGGGCCTTAAAGGAATAACGCAAAAAGAAAGTGGGAGTAGCAGAAATGAGAATGTTAAGTTGGATGAGTTGTCACATTAGAAAAGATAGGATAAGAAATAACACTATACAGGAGAACATTTGAGTAGCATCAGTAGGGAAAGTGGATTGCATTACTTTTAGTCTAGTAAAAAAGGGTCGAAAGAATCTTACACAAAGTTATTAAAATATGCTTTTTTATTTACCAGATTTTTGAAAATTTAGTTTTTAACCGAACTCAATGGTGTTATGTGATCGATGTAGCTAACCTTACCTAGTGGGATAAGATTTGGTTGTCGTTGATGTATGAAACAAATAAACACTTTCTATCTATTTATGTAATTCCTTTAATTGGTCTTTTGTTTTAATCTTGTTTTTGGCTCCCAAAATATCTAGCTCACATGCCTGCTCTTTTAAGCATTGATTGTTTGAATAGAACTGTTATTAAGCCCATTTCCTCTGATTTTCTTTTTTTCAACACTAGTTGTTTTAATTGCTTTTTGTGTTTCAACTCTGCAGGATACTTGCTTAAAAATGACATACTTCAATGTCAAAAGTTATTTTTTTTATTGCAAGCCAAGCTCCTCTTCTTGTTTCTATGGTACGTACCTTTTCAGTAAACCATATGATGCACTTGATAACCCAAAGTTTTCTGAATAAGTTTTGTTCGACTTGATTTGAGATTTATCGTTAAATTTGTCAAATAGCTAAAGTTGATACCCACAAAATATTAATTCCTGCTTTCAATCAATTTCTATCATGTAAGCATTTAAAATTTTCTCAATTTCATCGAGACTGTTTGCGTATGCAATATTTGAACCCTCTGGCCCCACCACCAAAAAGGAATAACATTTCCTTGAAACTGTCCGTCCTTTCTTTCAGTCTCTTACTTCATTCTGTTGCCATTTTGTCACAGAATTCATCAATGTTTTATTATCTTTTGTTAAGAGATGTAGTATAATGCCATTCACGTCTATTAACCTAACAGCTCAAGTTTTTGAGATTGTTGGTTCTTGTTTTCTTAGCATGATATGAGAGCCTCTGTGACTATGTTAGGAATTCTTGAGAACAGAAAACTAAGAACTTTTAGTAATGGATAAGAATCACAATACAGATAATAATGAAGGAAAAACATCCCTCCCCAGAGCTGTAGCTCTTCAGAGAAAACTCAGTGTCTGTGCCCTCTTAAGTTAATATCTAGTAATTTCCTCTTCACTATCTGGATATTATCCTTCCCGTAATTTAAACTAATATTCTAACAGAATACTCTTAACAAATTCAAATCTAATCTTATCCTATCATAATCTTATCTCGTCTCTTAATAGAATCCCAAAAGAATCATCTTCCCTAACAACAGAATGCAAAGTTATCTAATAAACCAATACTAGCAGAATACTATCATCTTCTTGAATATCTCTTTTGTATGTAAGTGCCATGTTTCAACTGGTCCACTGCTGAATTCTGAACTTTTTAGTATCCTGGCTAGTAAGTAGACTAAGTGGTGTATTGCTTGATCATTTCCACTCGTGGACTTCTAATAAGAAGTTGAATTTCAGAACAAGATAGGTGGGCCTATGCATTTTTCATTCTTTGAGTGGAGTAGGAGGAGGTAAAAAAATAAAGAAGAGAAGATGAAGGAGAAGAAGATAGAGAAGACAAGACAATAGCAGAAAAAGACAAAAAATTGAGTTAATGTAGTTAACAAAAAATAACCTATTTGAATAAGTTAGAAGACGAAATTAAAAGTTTTAAACTCATGGAACTAAAGCAAAAAAAAAAAAGTTCAGAAGATCAAAGGTATAATTTTACCTAATAATAAATTCTTAAATTTGGGCTTAAGAGTAACTCCACCTCAAAAGTCAGCTTGTGAGGTGAGAATTGCTTTAGTCTTTGTAAAGTTCTTATTTGGCCATATCTATAGTTTATGTGGGACTTCAACACACTCCTCTCACTCAAGATTGAACATTTGGAGTGTGAAATTGTAGACTAATTTTTTTTAGATATTGCACTAGGAATGCTGTAGGGCCAAGCTGGTTGCACCTAGGAAAGCCTAATGACCAAGTAGGTTGTGCTGGGCAATCCACTAGGTCAAATCAATTGCACTAAAAAAATTTGTGCAGCCAGTTTTTTTTTTTCAGTTAAGGTGGACCCAATATTGGATTTACACTAGATTGTGATACCATCTTAAATTTGGACTTAAGCTTAACTCAATCTCAAAAGTTAGCTTATAAGGTAAGGAGTGCTTTAGTCTTTATAAGCTCTTGTTTGGCCATATCTATATTCAATGTGAGATTTAACATAAATAATCAAACATAGTACAAAACTCGTGAAAAATTACCAAAGTACCAAATAAGTGCTCTCCATAACAAAATTGTATAATTTTGATATACAATTTGAGTTTTCTGTCACTTTTCCTTAATTTAATAATCCAAAATTGTATATTCCATTGTATATATGTAAATTTTTTCCTAAATGATATAGTATATTTTATGACTGCATGAAGTTGCATATTTTGACAAATTTCCACCTGATTTTGAAAATGTCTATTTCCTTCTTGATGTAATGGCTTGAAAAGTTCGGCACAAGCTTGAATGTAAATTGATAGGAATGTGGATTCATTTAAGAAATATGGAGACTGGCTCCTTACAATTGAGGTAAAACCTGTAGAGTTCTTTAAAACAGAGAAGGAAAAGATGCCTTAGGTAATCCAAGAGACCGGTAACTTCCCTGCCAAAATCCTCACTTATAGGAAGGTGAAAAACATAGTAGAAATAGAGTGAAAAAAAAATATTTTGATGGGTAGAAATATGAGGGAAAGAAGTGGAACAAATTCTCTTCCCTTATTTGGATGACTGAAAAAGAGAATGAAAATAATTATATAGATGGTATATACAATTATTTTTATAATAATAATACAAAATTAATTTAATAAAGATATTTAAATCTTTTAATATAGTAATTTTTTTCTTAATACTTTTTTTAAAATTCTTTTTCAATTTTTATATTATATTTAGAATTATTTATTGTTGAAATAAACTAACATAAACTGAAAAATATCCTCTTCATAAACTGTTCATTTCACAGCAAAAGAGAAACTTTCCTTTTTTGTTTTCTTCCACTAAAATACAAAGCATTCAAACCATGAAAATATTTTTTCTATCTTTCCTCTCAAAATCATTCCATTCAAATAGCCCCCTTCCGGTATGTCCCACATGACATCTATTTTATTTCCTTCTTATGTCACCCGTTAATCCTTGATTCCAGTGTGACTTTAGTGTCATCAACTAACTAACACAAAGACTTAGGCTGTTAGGTGAAGATGCATGAATGGTTTTGTATTATATCTCTAACATGTTTCCTCACACAAGAGTCTGTTGGGGTTTGAAATATGGGTAATGCATAGTCTCACCTACCTTGTGCTGAAATTCAACATTTTATTAGAAAGATGGGGACGGCAAGGGTAAAGATGTCTTTGTACTTGGACATACTGTTATTTTTTGTTTAATTAGGCCAAATGCAAAGTAATTGGAGACACTATTTGATTCTATAGCTACCAAACACAACACATAGATTTGAATGTTCTGATCCTTTCTTTTCTATTCTATTTGTCCACATGCCAAAAGATACCTTAGTCATTAAATCGCTATTATTGACAATAGTGATGTGTCCTTGAAGCATCTCCTCCAACCTCACCCATACTATGCTATGGAGCCATAGCTGAATGTACAATGTAGTGTGGTTTTCTACTTACGGATCACCATGGCTCCTTCCCAACAAGTTTAGTCACTCTATTAAATTCTATTAAATTATGTTTGGTACTCAAATTCGAAAAAGTATCTATTATATTGCAATTTTTTTCGCTTGTTCATCTCTGGAGGTAAATATGGTACCCACTCCTTCAATTGTGGCCAATGTATAGTAAATCATATTCTAGGATACAATCAAGATAATATTCAATTCTCTAAATAATATAAGATATAATATTTGTTAAGTTTGGACTTTAAACTTAACTCAAATCCAAAAGCTAGCTCATAAGATGATTGCTTTAGTCTTTAAAAGCTATTATTTAGTCATAGCTATAATCAATGTGAGGCTTAAATACACTTTTCTCGCACTCAAGATTGGACATCTTGAGCATAGAAATTGTAGGAATTTTTGTTTTAATATGGCATTGGATAAGCCATGAGACCACAGGTAACACTAGAAAATTCATGGGACCAGGTAAGTTGAACTAGAAAATCCACAGGCTAGGTTAACTGCATTGGAAAAATGAGTGGGGCCAGATTTTATTTTTAATTTAGTCAAAGGTGGCCCAATATTAGATGTATGATAGGCTCTGATACCCTGTTGAATTTGGGCTTTAAGCTTAACTCAACTCCAAAAGTTAACTCGTAAGGTGATGATTGTTTTAACCTTTACAAGCTTTTATTCAGTCATATTTATAGTCAATGTGTAATTTCAACAATATTAATACCATAACAACAATACGAACATCTATATTTGCTCAGTTATATGGAGCATACAATGCTATTGGACATAATTAAAATTAAATTTTCAAAGATATTATTTATTACGAAATATCTTAATAATTTCTTCCAAAGTTCTTTTAGGTTTCCTTTTACCTTTTCTCATTGGCCTAAATCATGCAATTCATTTTCTTCACTAGTACCTCTAGTGACTTCCGTTGTACTTGTCTAAATTACCGTAATCAATTTTTTATTCTTCAATAGGTGATATTCAAATATTTTCTCATTCGCAATCATTTCTTTTGTCCTTTCTCATATTGCCACCATACATAAACATTCTCATTTTTGCAGCAATCTTTGCCAACCAAATGAATTCAATAAAAAATGTCTCATTAAATAAATGCCATGACACTGTCTAGAAAGGTCAATACACAACTGGTCTATAGAGCATACACCTACAACTTGAGTCTGGCTGTGGAAGCTTGGCTATATTGTTTAAGATCTAGAGCTATAGCTAGGACCCATCCTCCTTCATGGGTGAATCTATGTCCAGTGGTTTCAAAGGGTGTTCTTCCTATTCAATCTTCACGGCTAATGAATGACCCATCCTCCTCTGTTGGTTGGGTTTTCTTGTTCATCTGTCTCCACTTTGTTACCTAGAGGATGGGCTTTGTAACCTAGATTCTCCTACCTCTATTCCCTCTGTTTCCTCATTGTGAACCTCCTCTGACATGGAAAAGTTTCAGTCCTTGTTAAGCATGTGCACCCTCCATTCAAATCACATCACCTGGCATGTATAGTTATTTTTCCCAATCTTAAATTTTTGTGAAAATAAAAATATAAAGAAACTATTAAAGTAAAAGTGATTTCTGTCAAAGGAGTAGGCATTACCAGAGTGTCAAAAGTTTGCTCCATTGACATAAGAGCCATGGTCAATAAGGGCCTTGACAGCCTCTAGCAGCGTTTATGCATGGTGTCCTTTCCACATTGAAGTGTTGTATGACACTGATCAACCGAAAGCATTATCTCCTTCCAACACGAGGATTCAAATCTCTTCTGATGACTGAGAACTTGTGTATCCAATTTGTCCAGCAACCTCCTCTTCTGATCCATGTTCCTCTCCATTCTTTGCAAAGATGTCCTTAGGCTCCCTAGAACGCTAGTGATACCAATTAATAGGAACTTCGGTTTCCTTAAGAAAATATGGAGATTAGCTCCATACAACAGAGATAGACCTCTAGACTAGAATCCTCAAAGACAGAAAAGATACCATAGGTCATTTGGATGTCTTATGAAATCCCAAATCTTCACCTAATAATTGTCTCTCTTTCATTTCCCTCTCTTCACATGCCCCCGAGCCTCTAACTCTACCCTTGCTTTATGCAAGTTAGTTATATCCCAAGTCCTTCTGCCCTTGTTTGTAGTAACCAATTGTAATAGCACACGAAGGCTAGTGTTTAAATGATTTATTGGATTTGAATACTACTCGAAAATTGTCCCATCATATATTTTTTCTCTAAGTGTTAAGTGGAGTTTAGTTGTTGAGTGTTGACTAGTAGTAAAGTAGTAACAGCAAAAAGGGTTATTAGTGCTCTTTCAGGCAAGCTGTTCTCTCTTTCCTTTAGCATCGGGTTTTGGTGTATCTCTCTTCTACCTTTCTAATTTTTTTCTTTGAAACAATTAATTACTTGTCCAAGTTGTATTATAAACTATGGTTGCTAACAATGGTTTCTTTCTTATTTTTAATCAAAATTTCAGAGGTACCAGGGAAAGAAGCAGCACTGTGCATTCTGTTGTAATAAAGTGCATGTGTTAAATGGTAGATTGACATACTACGACGGTATGAACTTAATAAAAACTAATTTTTAAGGCATATAAATCCAAATATGGATTGATGGTGGTATACTCTACAGAATGCACTCTTTTTGCCATCAGTGAGACAATAAGAAGCGTTTACTTTTGTCTGGTGGATTTGAAAGTTATATGCAAAAATTAATTGGGGTGAAGTTTTCCTGTTAACATTATTGAGATCTTAAGATATACTAGTTTATTGTATACTGGATTCCCTTCTGGGTGAGGCATTGCGCCAAGGGACTTGGGAAAAAGTTCAAAATATGTATCGATTTTGTTATATTCATAGGACCTTGTCAGCGCCCTTTTGCGGCTGATATTGGTAACATAACGTTTCCCCCAATCAAATTTTCACTTACTGAATTCACAAGTGACACCCTTTGTTTAGTAGCTAGTGAAATTTCTTTCAATTTAACGGGCACTTTGTTTAGAGTAAATTTTATCTAAATATTATTTAGTTGAGCATTGCTGAATATTATGAAATTTTTGTGACGAAAAAAAACGAAATAAATGTGGAACAATCGGGTTAAATAAGTTTTAGAATGGACAAAAGATGGGGAATTGATGGAAATCATCGCTAGGTCTTCAGTATTGTCTTTTTCAGAGTTCATTTCTTAGCATTTATGATTTTATGTATTTAGTTTTACTTAAATTGATTTTCTTCTATCTCATTTCAGTCGCCATAATATTATGCCAAAATTTTACGAGATTAATTTTTCTAAATTAAACAACCCCGCCAATTTGAAATAAAATCCAAATGTATAAAGTTTGAAAAGGAAAATAAAGACATAACTGGGTTTGAATCGAGTTTTTTCTTTTTGTTAAAATAAAAACTTACAAATGAAGATAAAAGTTGTTAAACAACTGTCGTCTAGTTAAATAAACCAAATATTTTGTTTCAAAGATAATTTCAAAATCTAAGATACTTAGTGCTTAAAAGATGAAAAAGCAGCTAAAACACACATAAATTTAGAATATGTTTAGTTTTTGACAATTTGTTAATATTTTCATTATGAAGTGCTTCATGTATACAATCTATGTTATTAAGCATTTTTTATACGAGTCTCTTCATGTTCAATATCTAGGTATTTTTTTTTAAGTCTTTCCAAGCATTACTCTTCTAAGAACAAGAATAAGATAAGGTTTATGCTATTAGAAAATATAGAAATAAAGCTTGGGGATAGTAAAAAGAAAAACAGAAGCTTGGCAACAAAAAGAATGAAAGAATTTTTTTATGGACAAGATATTGCAGTCACCTTGACAAAAAATAAAAGCTTCTTTTTACACATCGTGTGAACTTTGCATTCCTTCAGATTTATTAATTAAAAAATGTTTGTAACACTCTAATTTACACCATTTTTAACGCACTTTTAATTATTTATTAAAATTATTAAAAACTACAAAAATATTTAATTAGAAATAAAAAAATTAAAACTTACATAAATATTGTAATTTTTAATAAATTTTAGCTAAGTTAAAAGTATGTTAAAGAGTACGTTGATTCCTCTTCATTCCTTTTTTCAAAAATAATAATAGTTTGAGTAAAGTGGTATAATATTTGGATAAAATTAATACTCATAGTTATGTATGTGTTCAAACACTTCTTTCATTCATTAGTCTCGCTTAGTTATTATAGGCTTTTACTTCCTTTGGTCTTAAATATAAGCAAATATAAGTTAAGGTATGATGGTATAAAATATAATTTTTTTTTTTGTTAATGTCATACTGTTTAATAAAATTATTTTTAAAATATCCTTTATTAATTCAAATTTTATTTTTAGTGACTTTTTTTTTTATCATCAAGACATGACATAAAAAATTACATGCAACTTTAAAAATGAAATAAGTTTCCATAATTTAAGTCTTTTTCCAAAAAATATTTTTCACCTTTGACATTGGCATTTAGTATCATTTAATGTTAATAAAAAAATTAAATAATCTTTAAGTGTTTTTTTGTGTGTGTAATAAACATTATGAAGGATATATTAAGAAATGAATTTCTTTTGTTAGATTAAGTTATGAACATTAAATGAGATTAAATAATATTTTTTAATAAATGCAATTTAGTTACTTTTTTTAGCTTATATTTTAGATTAGAAAGAATACTTGATAAGTTATACAGAAAATAAGCTGTACAAATGATAACTTTCTTATAGTGCGATCACTTCATAATATCATTGATTTAGCAAAAACTGATATTCATTTTATAACTGAATATTTCAACAAATTTGTTAGATATCTTAGTTCATCAACATTTTTGTAATTCATCAAAATTTTGAGGTGCTAACCTTTTTGACTCTAACAATCTTACCCTTTTTTTATGATAATAAAAAATTATTTTATTGAATTTTAATGACTATGCTTTCAATATCATAGCATATTTATAATAAGAGAAAAATAATCAAAGCATGCATAAATTAATTTCGTTATAATAAACAAATATAACAATTCATCAGGAAAAACAATTACAAGAGTAAAAGCAAAAAACACATAATTTATCAACATTTGTTGTAAATATTAACTCCCCCTTTTATCATTATCAAAACATAAAAAACGCACACAGAAAACGAAAACATCATCGGCATCTATCCTTAATGAAGCGTTGAAGGGTGGCAAAACATGTCTCAAGGCTTAAGATAAGATTCAAGCTTACAAATCTGAGTTTGTTGGATAGATGAGTGTTGTTCCATACACTCAATGCATTATTCTAGAGTGGAGACATTTTGGCTTGAACAAATTTTTCAAAATGAATTTTAGGTAAAAAGATGGGAACCCAAAAGGAAAAAAAAAAAAAAACGAAGTTTATTGGATCATTTGGGAAAGAGCTAACGTAAAAATGTTTAGAAAACTTTAAAAGGCCACTTGTGACAGCAATAAAATAAATCAAGAATGGGTTGAGTGTTTTCAATTTTGGTAACTAAAAGTGAATTTTGCAGAAAAATACTTGAAGAATATTTATGTTATTTTAAAAATTTAGTTTTAACTCCTAATACCCGCAATTCATGCACTCCATTCAGCAAACATTCATGAGAACTAACCAATCATAAGAATCACTTAAAAAATTGCAATACAGATTAGATCCATTGCTAAATTTCATTTATCATTCAACATCCATTGTCGCTTTTAAGTTTTCATGCCCTTCTCAGAAGCAGGATCATTGCGATTCCTAATATAAAAGTTCTAATGTGTTAAGTCTCTTTATTACTATTGTCACTGCCTCCAGCAACCATGACTGAAATGAAGCTCTTACATTTGCGGCCTCACCCTTAACCATGAAATGAAACACCATTTTCCATGATTTTTGGTAGCAAGCTCTTCATCATAGAGATGTTGAAGGCCAAAGCCCTTACCAAAGTCATCAAATCCAATATCACCAAAGAGACAATCTCATAAAACAAAGAATCAAAATCAAATTAACATTTTTGTACTTGTTTCAAATTTTGACGAAGGAAAGCATACATAAGTTCTCCAAGACATTCAAAGACATAATAATATAGATGGCTGTTAATTATTAGTCTAGGTCCCATTAATACCCCCTTAAACTCATGGAAATCGTAGAAATCTGTTTACAGTGAAAAATGACAATTGTAAACAAATAATCTAAAGATCAATCTGGAAACTGGATTTAGGTTCTCTTTGGGTTCTTTTAAGTGTGTTATTAATGTGATGCTCAAATTAACGGCGTAAAAGAGTATTAAGCAAGGATAGGGAATAGTAATTGTGCAGAATTGAATCAAACGTAGATGCTTTTTACAAAAATGTAGTAAATAAGAAAAAAACAGCGTACAAAGATATAAGCGACAAGCACTTGAACTAAAATGCAGAAAGGTAAATGCGGGAATGTAAAGGTGCTGGAATGTAAACTTACGACTCCTCACAACGGCGAACAACGGCCACTGTGGGTCTCCTTGTAGCTGGTGTCTGGCGCAGTGCAGGGTTTCAGCGTCTCAGAGTGTTTAGGTGCGGTGTCTGGGTGCAAAAAGTCATCCTTTGTAAAATGGCGCTTTGGAGTATTTATAGACGTGAAGACCACCACCGTTCTCCTATTTTTGTGGGCACTTCTTAGTAACTTCCTTCAACTGTTGATGCCAATTATCCACGATTGCTTGTGATCGTGTTGTTGGTTGGGGCTTCTTTCGTAACTGCTATTGCCCACGATCTCCTTTGCGTAGTGGTGAATGTTTGATAACTGCTGGTAATCGCTTTTGGGTTTTGCAATGACTTAACCTATCGAGACTCTTGCTTTTCGAGTATTTCTAAGAAAAACCTAAGAGACTCATTTAGTGTTATGACCTTAGAAAAATTTCTTCTTGTCTTCTCTTTTCGAGCAATTCTGGAGTTTTGAGAGCTTGTTTTGGCCTTGTGGACTTAGAATATTTTCTTTGCTCATTTCTGTTTTTCGAGCAATTCTGAAGGAAATCTGGAGCTCAACCAAGTTTGTGGACTTTAGAATATTTTCTGACCATTTCCTGTTTTTCGAGCAGTTTTGGGTGTCAGTGACTTAAAAACTCCTCAAAATGCCTCGAAAAGTCATCAATTTTTGTGGACTTAGAATATTTTCTTGTCAGTCCTGTTTTTCGTGCATTTTTGGGTGTCCGTGACTTGAAAACTCCTCAAAAATCTTTGAAAAAATCCTTAGTTTTGTGGACTCAGAATTTTTCTTATTAGTCCTGTTTTTCGAACAGTTTTAGGTGTCAGTGACTTGGAAATCCCTCAAACTACTCGAAAAAGCTTTTAGTTTTGTGAACTTTGAATATTTTCTTGTCTTTCCAGCAGTTTAGAGAAAAATCAACAATGTGACAAAAAATCTTCTAAAATAGCTCGAAATGTGTCCCTAAAACTAAAGGTAGCTCGAAATGTGTCCCTAAAACTAAAGGTCTTGGATGGTTTTTCAATATTTTCTTATGTTTAGACTTATTCTTTGGCTCCTTCTTGACCCTCGAAACTTGTTGACATGTAGTTTCCTTCACGATGATTTTTTAACTTAGAAAATTTTCCTTATCCCAAACAAAATCACAAAAAAAAAAAGAAATACAAAAATCAAGTATTTTTTCATAAAATAATGATGAGTTGAATTTTTATTGTCTGTTTTATTATTTAACAAAATTCAGTTGATAGTAAAAGTTAATTTTTAATAGGTTAAAAAAAGAGTTAAAGACTGTATCCAAACAATATAAATTTTTTAAGAATTAAATACTTAATTAAGCATAATAATAATAATAATAATAATAATAATAATAATAATAATAATAATAAGTGTGTAATAAGAGTGTGACCCTTCATTGTATTTTTCTTTTGATATACATTTATATTGTTCATCCAAAGTTAAATGAGCTAATATACACTTTTTATGTTGCAAAAAATATATATTATTTGAATTAGTTAAAAGTTAAAGTTGATGAAATAATTAATTATAATTACTTGTATATATGAGATAATTTTTCTCATTTTAACCAGTAAGTTTATTATTACTCTAAAATGTCTAGTCACACCTTTTTAAATAATTTTAATATAAAATTCTCTTTTATATTAATTAATTAAATTAATAATAATATTTAAATAAAGAATCACAATAGAGATTTTGGAGTTGCAATAGATATTATTCAGTAATAATTTTTTTTCCCTTCAATACTTTTTATTAGTCAACCATATTTCTTCACAAATATTCTATAAATTATGACATGTAATAACTGATATTGTACATATGATATTGTCAACTTCAATTTCTACGACAGAATTGTAAAACTAATGTAATTTTTTATT